TTAACACTGTACATATCGGAAAGCCACGGTCATTGGATGTACTGATACTGACTGTATTAGGTACAGCTTGATACTTATAGTTATTCTGTTGAACACTATACACACCTGACAGCTACGGTTATTGTACTTTTATATAGATTTGCTTTGATAGTGTGTAGTTTTATAATAATCTATTCAGATTGTTTTTTCAAGACTGTTGATATTGGTTAGGGACCGGTCATTATTTATGGAAGGGGGGAGGGGAATTTTTTTCTTTTCTAAATTTTTAAAATTGAAAGCCCCCCCAAATGGCAGAAATTTAATGATGGCCCCCCCCTGCATATTAGAATATTTTTCTTTGACCCCCCCCCCCATTTTCATTTTTACTCGTCAAATGGGGATACCCAGGCGTTATAGTATTTTAATTATTAAATAAGAATATGGAACTGGCAAGATATTAACGTCGACCAAAAATATATATTTATTAGCAGAAAATTGTAATTAAAAGAGGAGTATTTTTATATATAACACTAAAATCAGGTTTCCATTTGGTCTGGGCGATCGTAACCATGTTTAAGGCTGCAACTAGACTTGATGGTACGAAGTATTGCCATAGCAGCTGTGCGGCAACAATGAGAGCAACAATGAGTAAAATTAGCAGCAAAAGGAGATAGCAATGACAATTCTGCCAAGGCATACCTGCGAAATACAATGTATAGTGGTCTATACATCCTATTTTATGTGAGATTAAAAATTATATAAAAATGACATATACTAGCTACCAGATAAAATCTTTTAGAATGAGCATGGGTGGGTGGGTCGGGAAAAGGTATCGAAGCGCAAAACTTGCTGCAGCTAGGCAAAGCATACAATGGTAGAATGAATACCCAGACCGAAGCACTGATCACAAGGCATGAAACAACCCCCTTTGATCGATATGACGTCACAGATTCCCCGCAGCGGATGTGGCCTGCATAATACAAACGCCGTTAACCTTGCTTAATTTAAATGTATTTAACCACATCAAGAGCTGATGTAATAATACATTGTCAATTTAACTAGTCTGCAATCCGTAAAGACTGATGCATACTGCATACAGCACACACAAGACAAGATGAATCCAGACTATTTCACATCAGTGACCATGATTTAGTTGCAACATTTACAACCAAATGGATACCAGGTTATTAAGCAAATTCCTTCAAGTTTAATTGCAACACCCCCTGTCATTTTCTTGAAAAAATTTAATAGCCCCCGTTCTAGTCATTTCTACATATGCCCCCTTATTTTTTTCCTCCCCTCCCCCCTTCCATAATTAATGAACAGTCCCTTATTGTTAAAATCGAGGATGTCGTTAAAATTAAACTTTAAACCTGTAAGATCTTCGGGAACATTTTATATTATGTTGTGTTTTACCAAATAATGTCCTTGCCCTTGCACGATTCCCAATTGCAAAAAAACTGCTGTAAATCATATCCCCCTTTAATTAATTTGATCTCATCCGTGAGTCGGCCTCGAAGGCCTTTGATTGAAACTTAGATCGCCCTTATACAGGGTGTATCAAAAAAAGCGCAATCCTCGACTGAAATGTAAATTGCTAAACAAATAATAGACGAAAACGTTAAAGTTTACATTCATTTTAAAGCGTAGCCATTCAGCTTTCTAACAGTGGGTTGTTTCTTAAATTTGACTCATTGGTTCGCGGGTAATAATACTTTACGTTATTGCGATTGGAGATTAAAAAAATTGAGATGGAATAACAAATCGTTCTCATGAAAATAACTGATTTTTTCATTAAAACAAAAAAATGTTGCATTTTATTAAATGGATTGTAACAATAAGTATAATTACGGCTTTTCTTCCACTATTTTAACTCAGTTTGAAACTTCAAATGCGATATAATTTTGGCTTGGACCATCTAAGCTGACTGACATCAACTTGCTATAATTTCTGTTTACATTACATCGCAATTCGATGACACTCTGGCTCAGACACCAGAATGTTTTGACGATTTTTAGCATTCGTTTAGGATTTTCAAACAACCTGGTCTCTTTTAAAATACTTTTAATTTGTTCTTACGTGGTTTTCCAGATGTAGTGACGACAACATTAAAGTTTAAAGAAGAAAATTCTAACATTTAAACCGACTAAACAATAACATAGTAAACTTGCATAATTAAACAGCAACTAAAAATGATAGGTTTTACTAAATCTTTTCCTGTGCAATTATTACTAGCATTGGAGACAAGGATAATAGTTTGTTTGAAAGAGAAAAGAACAGGCTTTGAAGTAAGCCTAAAAGCGTTTAACTAGAAATAGTATTTCGAAAGTTATAAAGCACAAAAGATGAATTGCGTTTATTTTGATACACCCTATATAGTCTTCTAAACGTTTATTCTGCAGGCAGAGTATGGATGGTTGCAACTGCATCAGTTATCAGCAAAATTACCATGGGACCTTTCTCGCTTTTTGTTGATTGGCAGCTGGTTAAAAAAAGAGTCATATTCTACAGTACACGACTGGCATTTCCAAATATTGGTTCCAAAGAATTTAAGAAATTGACCGAGGATCAACAGAAAAAAGTGATGAAATTTCGCCCTAAGCCTGACGAGGATCTTTTGGAGTGGTTGAAATCGTTTGATCCAGATAACACGTTCAATATAAAGATGTATAAAAAAATGATAGTCACGAAGAAACCGTTCAAGTTTGTATATCTTTTCCTGAATCAGATCCTGGACGAAATGGAAAAAGTGGCGACAGATATGTTAGATGTAGCGACTGATCGATCTAATCCTGGATCTACTGGCCATGCAAGTGGTAAAATGTTGAAATCATAATATTGTCATAAAGACAATATCTAACAACTCTTCATATGTATAGTTGATTATTTTTTTCTTTGAATATTTAGCCACTTTTGCACGTACTTGGAACTTATAATCTGGGACACTGAATAGAACAATGCACAAAATAGACGTGTTGACTATAGAAGTGGCAAAGCGGTGCACTTGTGATGCACTCTCAATTAAACTCGTTTAACCGAAAGAAAGTTATCCGTGTGACTATATAACTAAATTTTCCACCATATATATCTAGTGTGTTTAGAAAGAAGATAATGTCAAATGGAAGCATTCGATTCAGCGCTATGAACTACAAAGTTAACAATAAACATTGTAAATGGATTAAGTTAGTAATATATGAGTTGTATTAAACAACTTTGAACTTCCACGCAACATGTAACATGACATTTTCATAAAACTTGAAAAAGTGTCTGCCAACAATTAATCAAGATGCCATTTACAATCCATCTCAATCCTGGCGTAATCTTGCTCATCCAGACTTCTGTACATGTTTTTACCTCCGCCAGGAGGTTATGTAATCATCTGGGTTTTTACCTCCGCCAGGAGGTTATGTAATCATCTGGGTTTGTATGTGTGTGTGTGTGTGTGTGTGTGTGTTTGTCTGTGAGCACGATAACTCAGGAAATACCAAACATATTCATACGGAATTTTTTGAGTGCATTTCCCATCGGCTAAGGAAGAACTGATTAAAATTTGGTTGAATTTGGTTAAAAATTAAACGAGAAATGAACAAAATTTTGTCTTGCTTTTCCCGGTCAATTAAAAAAAAACTCACTGAATGCGTAATTGGGACGTGTATAATGTATGCACGCAGTACTAAGAAGACAATGAGATGATAAACCTCATTAAGCTTCGGCCCTAATTATCTATTGTCTTAGTTGCATTTCACACGACCCCGAAATTTAATGTGGGCGGAGGTATGCAGTCTCTGAGTGCCCTCTAGTTTGTATCTGTTATTGCTTTATTTTGTGCTTACACTCATTCTTTTTCAGTTTGGGCAAAATTTGCGAGGGTTAGAATTGCTAAAAAATCGGTAACATTGCCCCTTCAGGCAAGCGACGTTTTTGTCAACACGGACGTAATTTGAAAATTGATATAACTAATTTTGGCAGCATTTTGCATCATAGTGCTTGCGTAAGGACGCAACAAAATGTTATCTTTTGCCACATGTGAAGATTACCACAAACTGACACACAGTTTTTAATCCAGTTTCCCCTCGGCAAACTGACGTCCGTGTTGAGAAAAATGTCACTTGCGTAGGCTCCCTACGCTAACGACACAAGAATCTTAGATGGTCATTTCCAGGACATGTTGCCTCGGAGAAATTTTGAATTCCCAGGATCTTTAGAACACCACTCATTTCTTGCATATATTGAAACAGGTTCACTGAGAAATAAAATAATCATATCAATAAAAAACGTAATTTTTATCATTATTCTAGATACTGCACTCCCCCCCCCCCCCACTTTTTTGCCCAAATTCAACTCACAAAAACTGATGTGGAGATCATTTCCTTACTCCTCTGCCCAGCTCATACATATGGCCCAACTACGCCACTGTGACCAAGCCATAATTTAACGGTTAGTTGAATTTATAGTGACGCAGGAAAACATATGGCACAAACAACAATATTTTGCACGTAACTATATTTGTAAAGTGCACCATGAATATCAATTTACATATTTTACTAACTTTTTCCTAACAGCCGGGGCGTAGGAAGCATCAAAAAGTTGGGGGGGGGCACCGGTTTCGAGGGGCACTTTTGGTATAAAAACGGCACCTAAAAAATTTTTCTCGGAAATGTTGGAGACGGGAGGGAGGGGGAGGTAGGGAAGGAAAAATAAATGCAATCATAAATCAAAGGCCGTTGAGGCTGATTCATGGATGAGATCAAATGAAAGTGACAGAAAAAATTAAAGCAGTTTCCAGTTGTTTTTGCAAACGAGCAACGTGTAAATTTTGCCATTTGTCTTGCTCCAGCCCGATTTCTGGTTCTGAAAGGACCGATTCGCAGGCAAAGAATGCGCGCAAAGCAGACTGGTCATTTCTCATTGTTTAACTGTCCCACATTCGCGTAACCACAAAGACTTGTTTCTTTGCAACATCCGTGAGTCAAAAATGCAATCTGAACTGACTGAACAACATTTTTCACGAAGAAAAGGGCACTTTTTGTGTCTTCTGAAAATTTGGGGCCCTTGCCCCCCCCCCGGTTCCTACGCCCCTGCCTAACAGCCCAGCAGTCACGCGTGAATATTACGCCACGTTAAGAAATCCGCGAATATGGGTGGCAAAAATAATGGACCAGGTGCGCACTATGGACAGTACAGAAAATCACTGTGGATTCGTCCGAGAAAGTACTCTCTCTAAATTCGTATTAAGTCAGTTAAAGCGATAATTTCGAACTCAATCGAAGAAAACTTTGTAAAATGTGGGTTGTATAAAAATTTAAAAATTATAATTACTAGTGCATAAGTTAACCAGTCAGAATTGTGCATTTTAGAGTTATAGTACTGTACAGTTTAACTACGAAACAGGTAGTTGAAGAGCAGTTATAATTTTATACAACCGGCCCTAGAGGGCTATATTGATGCCGAGTAAGTTTTTATTTAGCTTAAAACATGCGGGAAATCACAATTACGCCACGTCATATGTTGTAACGTCACTTGCAAGGGCTGAATAATTAATTAATGGAGAAGATATTATAGTTCTTATAGTTTGCCACAAACACAGGATAATTTTTCAACAAATGCTAATTAAAAAAAACTTAACCTATACGTAATAACACTATTAGTCTCGATTATAAAAATTGATTTTACCCTTCTATTGAACGCTAAGTTCTAACCATTTGGCCCAATGATCACTGGCAAATCTTTTACAGCCCTTTAGCCGTTCTTTTCCTACGAGAGCAAACGTGCTGGGTTTAATAGCTTTTGCTTCTTTCGCTGGGCGAACAAAAATTCGATCGAAGCGAAACTTAGGCGGCCGTTGATACGCTTTACCGTTGTTGTTATTTTCAGCCATGTTCCATGTGTACTTTGTGGTCAGCGCACTACCACAGCTTGCCCACGCGTCAAGGATGCCACCGGGTACACCCCCCACAGCATTGACCTCGGTATCGCGAAGATTTGTATCCCCGCCAAAAATTACATTAAAGTTCTCATTCTGGCGTTTCATGTAGTCTAGAATTTCCGAAAACTGTTTCTTTCGTTCAGCGCCGTTGTCGACGAGACTTTCCAAATGTGACGTCATCACAATGATCTTGGCGTCCGCGAATTTAATTGGATGAATGAGATAATGACGTCCCATGATGCTAGTTTCGAATGAAACTATTTTGAGCGAGATTGCTTTCGTCTGTACGGTCATAGATTATAGATTAGTGAGCTTAAGCAAGTGACGTTTTTGACAACACAAACGGCATGAGTAACGTCAGAAGACTGGGTCAAGGGCTGTGATTGGTGAAAAACGTCAACTTTACTTCCGGTCGACGTCCGTGTTGTCAAAAACGTCACTTGCTTAAGCTCACTATTATACCAGATGACTCACTCAGCAAAAATTGTGTCCGCGATTTTTTTTTTGAGCACGCGTTGGCCGCCATTTTGGCAGTAAGTGTAATATATTAACCGTGGTGTAATCCACGCCATGAAACGTGAGCAATGACGCCATCTTTTAAGTCACTGACCGAGAAATTTTCTGGATGTAAATAAAAGAACTAACAATATTTTGTTTTATTTTGTTGTTTTCGAGTTAAAAAACTTGAGTAAAAAATGCCTAAAACGCACGAAACGTTTTCAAAATAAAATATATCTGTTTCAATTTGCTTTCTTAACCTTGCTGGACAGCTAACTTGTTTTATTACTCATAATTATGTGTAAAAATTTCCCGAAAAGATAGGCCATAGCATAGAACCACGAGTTGTGTGTTTCGTGGATTGAACTATTGAAGGCCAAAAACGAACAATCCTTTCGTCTTTCCAGGACCTAGGTTGGTATATAATATATAATCTATTTTAAAGAGTTCTTTTCAAGTTTAATAACACGTTTATGTTGCCTGGAGAACGATAGACAGCCAAAAACTTGGTATAAACCATTCCTATATCTGTTTTTTACAATTTCACTTTAACTATTTGATACTTACATGTTTCACCTACTGAAGTTAAAGCATTAAGGCAACAATATCTACCAACCTCCATCTCTCAAAGCTTGTGAATTTTCCAATTTTATCAAAATTTTGCCCACCAAAAGTCAGAACGACTTCGAAGCCGCGTCTCTCAAAAATGTTCCACCAAAAGGCAAGTTAAGACCAGTTAATTCTGCAAAACGGTGGGAAAAAAGCTAGATGTGCATTTTTGGCATTTTTTAAACATCTTTTGCGATTAAATTTGCTGTTTTCCTTTCTTATTTTAGTTAAAATCCAATATTAAAAATCCAGCAATAACTTAATTGAAATTTTGCCGTCGGTGACAGAGTGGTCAAAACAAAAAAAGAGCCTGGATCCCACCAAAAGTATGGCGTGGATTGCGTGAGCAATCGCCGCCATTTTGGCAGTAAGTGTCGCACGCGTCATCTGCCGTGTGCAATTCGTGATCAGCTTCGCGAAAATCGCGGACACGAAAATCATAGGAATAGATACACAGTGAGTCATCTGGTATTATCTATCATCTGTGGTACGGTGCTCGTTCGGATTAATATCGCGTTGAAGTAAGGGACTGTAAGATTGTCAGCCAGCATGATGTATCTAAGAAATTAGAATGTTAGTGTTTGGAATCCAAGTGAGACTATATACATTTTAAGACCTGACCAGGAACGACTGCGAAAAATGCAGCACATGGTCCTCTGGTAGGAATTGAACCTACGGCCCTGCGATTCCGGTGCAGCGCTCTAAACAACTGAGCTACAGAGGCCAGCTGTTAAGCTGTAACTGTAAGTTCATGTATATATAGGTAATCGGGTGTGCGGGTTGTGATAAGGTGGACTTCATGACTTAGATTCTTGCACTTCACTTGGTGGAATTAATATTAGAATGTTAGGGTTTGGAATCCAAGTGAGACTATATACATTTTAAGACCTAACCAGGAACGACTGCGAAAAATGCAGCACAAGGTCCTCTGGTAGGAATTGAACCTACGGCCTTGCGATTCCAGTGCAGCGCTCTAACCAACTGAGCTACAGAGGCCAGCTGTTAAGCAGTAACCGGGTAAGTAAATATCTATATATACATGAACTTACGGTTACAGCTTATGTAACTTTTTCAATTCACTTTTTCAATTTTTGTGAACAGTGTACTAAGTCTAAAGCATGCTTTTACGGTTATAATATCACCTTTAAAACATTTCTACTAGATTGGTAATCGGCCGCACAAAGACTTTAGAAAAATACCTGTGGTTCCAGTTACATATCGTGAAAAATTTAGGGTAGGAGAGTCTGAAAACATTTTTTTGGAATATTTTTTTTTCTCATGGTTTTGGCGGTTTTCTGATGGGCGTTTTCCAGTAGAGTCCCGACATGAATATTAACCGGAGATGCATATTTTCTATGGATGGATTTAGGCAATTTGGTTCAATAATTACTGTGACGACTGACACCATTTTGGCACGCTGTATGAGCCCGCAACCACCTGCAGAAAATAGGGTCGCACGGTCAATTGCGTCACAAAAAATAATATTAGGGTCAGCAAAAAAAATTGGGTCGGTCGGGAAACCGGAACCACAGGTATTTTTTAGGCCTAACATCTGGGTGAAAATGTTTCTCAATCTTCTTCAAGACAAATCTTTCACAGTATCCATGCCAGGATCCCCACCAAATCCCATTTTTCCAGGCCTAGTCTGAACCTCTCTGAAATAATATCTTACCCTTCGCAGTTTTCTTGAAACGTCTTCAATGAATATGCTACTACTTCTTGAAGCAGTACAAACTCGGGCTTCAGCAAGAGAATCTTTTCAACAACTGCTGTTGTCCTTTCTTCCAAGTGGACTGTGTCCAAGCCATCATGATTCCAGCAGAGAAGTTTGAGGCTCTAAGAGCCATCAGAAGCACTGGTGCTACGATGAAAAAGTTTAAAGTTTAGAAACACAAATGTGATTCAAAATATTTAATTACGATTTGTGAATATGCATGGTGACTGACAATATTACGATGCCTAAATGAAATTCCTGACATACAACATACCTGTGACTTGACGGTTTCCCTTCAATCTGGGATAAGAGGGCGGTTATCTAGATAAAATAATGAAGTATTTAATGGAAAATATGAATTTTGTAGGAATTAATAGTAACAAATGCAATATGGGGTGAAATAGCTTAATAGTCAAGTGTTCAAACAATAAAATATATAAAGTATTAATCAGTCAATCAGTCAATCACCGAAACTTTATGAGTTCTCACCAGGGCCTATTCTAAGGAAATTTTAATACTGCACACTTTAGAGCAGGTGTCATCAATGACGTCACCCTGTGACGTCATCTTTGAATTGTTATGTGTTTATGTAGAACATAAAAAAATAAACTCTTTTAAATTCAAATCAGCCATAACCTATTGTAGTGAATTGCTGATGCGACACAAATGATCCACATGAATGAATAGAGCTGTTAAATTACCACAATAAATTACGGTTAATTTGAATTGAAAGGGTATAATTTTTTGAGACACCCTGTAGAATGACAACATGACTTTTTCCTTGGGCATAGTCGATGAGCACGTATATTGTTGTAAAATATTGAATATTGGAATTATTACCAGAACTTGGCCTTTTTTGGCCAGCAAAGGCGTTTTAGATTCTCGACTTTATATTTCATCTACTTCGCTCCTTCAGCACATCTAATACAAAGTTGAAAATTATTTCAAACTTCAAATTTCAATACTGCACACTTTCGCATTCAATACTGCACACTTTGTATCCAATACTGCACAAAGTGTGCAATACTGCACACTAAAATTGGCCCTGGTTCTCACATTGTCATGTGAAGCCTTCTTTTCATCTGCTTTACCTGTTATGTCTGAACAATATTCATTAATCCTACTCTGGAATGAAAGAATTATTTAAGTCAGCTCAGCCATTAACCAAACCATATAGTTAACCAAACTATCTGCCAATGTGTTTTGTTAGTTATTGAGGTCAGTGGAATGCATTCAAATGCACCCAACTTTGTACTATTGTATGCCCATCTAGAAACCCACTCCCTCAGCCACTAGAGAGCTAATTTAAATTTGACAATAAGCATGACAATACTATAAGATTTGTTGTTTAAGCCATCTTCTTACAGCATCACGTAGACATACCAAAGTCTTGTGTGCCAGCATGTGATGGCGTAAGAAAATTTCGTGTGCAAACAATGTATCTCTTAGTTGTATCACAGAATAGGAAGGTATAGCAGAAGCGTAACTCACGCAAGTATTTTCTCCGCGTTTTTACAAGCGATTCGTCATCAATCACGCCATCCTGGCTAGTACAACCGGCACTTTGTACCTACCAAAACCTTTTAAAAACTTCCGGTTGTACTAGCCAGGATGACGTGGATTGGCGTGAGCAAGTTAAAATTTTCGTGGACGTAAAACAATAAGGGAAACGACTAGAGTTACGGCTTCTGCTATACCTTCTTATTCTGTGGTTGTATAATATAATCAATCTAAAGTTAATTTTAATTCTCCCAGCAAGGAGATCAAAGAACATGTGCTCTTACAAATGTATAATAATGCCTGGCTCCTATACCCTTGCTTAGTTACTTGACCCTGAAAAAGGATTTTCGAGACACTTTGTATGCAGTGATTATTCGTCCAACACTGAATCCGTATATTTAGGCGACACTATTCCTTCAAAGGAAGTGTGTTTCTCGTTCTTTAAACATACTGAGAAGATATCAAATAAATTCATGGCGGTTGATTTCAAGCAATTCATCAGTAGTCGAGTGGTTAAGGCACCCGGCTTGTACGCACTAACGTCTGGATCGAATGCAGAAGTGTTAGCAGGGACGCCGGAACGATGTGAAGGCAGGCGGGGGCAGATTTTCGTGAAAGGGCACTGATATATACTAAGAGATGTTTGCAAAACATCGGGAGTTGAACTTCGCCTAATCATGTTTTCTATTTATTGGATGATAGGGGTGTGAGGGGCAGTGGCGGCGCCAGGCCTCCAATTTTTTTTTTTTTTTTTTGGGGGG